GGGATTGAACCCTGATTCCTTGCGAGGCAGCACATCCGCGCTTCGACAGCAGCACCCTTCAAAAATATTGTTGCGCTTTGCCTGTATGACACGCAGTGCTTTGAAGACGCAGCCAATTTTCCTCCCCGAAGCTAAAGAATGTGTTCCTGCCGCCATTGACTCCAAATGCATGATCCTTGTGACCTCGCTGTGAACAGCAACGTCAAGGTAGAGAGCCAATGCAGGCATGCGAGCATATGCAAGCTGCGCACCTTCCCTGCAGGAGCCCCCAATAGCGTCTTGCGTTTTCGCCTCGGTGCCAGAAGCACATTTAACAGTCCTCCAGTCTGCAGACAACCCGTGCACGCATCATTGCCACGATTTGCCACGGGTCCAGGCTCCAGGGTGTTCTCCAAGAAGTCCTTGGTGTTGCGCTTTGAGTAGCACAGCATCGCGGGATTCGTTGCTGCGGTTTGGAAATTCTAATCTAACAGGGCTGGAAGTCCTGGTTCCATGATCTGGCTGTCTAATTAATTTCCCTTGTGAGCCTCTGTCGCTGCCACCCCAGGGCGATCTCTGAACCACCATGCAACAGCCCTAAACAGCAGAACGCCCTTGAAAGGAGCGAGACAGCGCAACAGTCCTCCCGCATCCTAAGCCAGAAGCTAAAAGAAGTCCCCTGCATGTGTTGGACAACTGGCTTTTCTGTTTTGCAAGAAGGCCGAGGTTCCACAACGTTTGCCGAGGATGTCTGTGCAGAGAAGTTTGCCGAAGCCACCTGCAACTGATTTTCACCCCAACAGCACAAGAAATTACAGGTGCAGTGTAATTGCCAGGTATGGCACCGTGGAGTTCATCCATCTATCAGCCGAATTCGCTTGGACACTAGCAAGCCAACAACTGGTGATGTCGTACTCAGACAGAAAAACGCATCTGCAAAAATCATCCGAACGGCTCCAGAAACTCCCAGTTTTCCTAGCCTGAAAACAGCAAACAATCTACTGCTGAGTTCGGCGCTGCAAAATTCTCACCAGGGCTTGCCAAGAACTGCTGGATGCCAACAGATTTGCCAACTCCCGTTTCTCCTGCGTGTGGGCAGCATCATGTTCAAGGCTGTGAGATACAGATTGCTTTGCGGGTCTGTGCATGCGATGATGCATCAAGAGCTTGGAGGTCTGACTGACTTGAACATACCACGCTTGTTCTACTCTACGAACATCCTGACATCGCTCCCATTTGCCTGAGAAGAGCACATGGTATCCAGAGCCCATGAGGTTCTCCACCTTGGCGTTTGACAGTAATTTGCAGAGATGAAGCCCCATCCCGCAATTACTACCACAATCACCAGGGTAAGCCCCGTGACCATCAGCATCATCATCGTGCTACAGTAGCTGAAAACATTCCCAAGCTTCTGCGACTAGAACTAGCAAGCGGAGCAGGTAGCATTTTTGATAGCGTTGCGCAGTAGACAATAGCAACCTACGTGCATGTAGGTACTGCTGAGGAAGGACACAGATGACTATGATACGGCGCAATGTCGGGAGCAATAAATTTCCGTGTGAAAGCTCCGGAGTCCCCACCAGCAGCCGCTGCATTGTGGTCTCTGCAGTGGGAACCAAGATGTTGAAGAAAGGTACCTGAAGTTCTGCAAAGGCAAACGGGGTGTCAATTCTACAGGTTCAATCTTGGCTTTTTTGCATTGCTGGTTTCGTTTGGCTTTCGGGATATGCGACTCCTGGACGTAGTAGTGGCTCTGCTGAAGCACGCGAATGCTTCATGCAGATCTTGTCTTGGCCGATACAATCTCGATTCTACCCTCTGATTAGTTCCATGAGGTCTTTCGGAGCTACTTTGGTAAGCGCACAAGGCCTTAAATACTCCCTAGCATCTGGTCATACTCAAAGTCTGTCGGCTCACCGTCGCATCGAAGGAGAATGCCGGCACCAGCGATGAAATTGGGATAAAGGATGCCTGGCACCAGCTTGACCGATGGAGGCTGCGCAGAATGAACATACTGGCGAATTCATGAGCTGGGGGAGCAAGCTCTCATAGAATGGCGGCCGCAATTCCGACAGTCCAGTTATGACGTAAATGTGCGTTCGCTTCAGGAGAGAGGGCCTTCTTATCTTGGAATGCCGGACTTCATTAACGAAACCAGCGAAACACTTCGACAGCTCATAAAGCATAGCTGGGACAGCTTACGATAGCATCGCGATGACAAAAGAACCAGTGGTAACTTGATATTCCCACGCTAATGCACAGCACGCTTCTCCAAATCCAAGACACGGCATCTCTTGCCAACAAAACAACATGGCAAACGCAGTGCAAAATCAGTGTCTGGAAAGGCTACCCGGCTCCTCTCAGTGACCTTTTGCAGTCAGAATCTCCAGAACATTGCGGCATGTCTATTTTCAGCAGGCAGAGCATTGCATAGGCAGACATGAACGATCCAGTTCAGGATCCGATAGCTATGGTTCTCCGCGCCCTGCATTCACATTTTGCAGCATGGCCGGACTCCCTGCGCATTGGTAAAATGCTGCTGCTCATCTTCAGTAGGTCACAGCACTGGGCAGGGCCCGAAATGCAGGCAGTCGAACTGCTGCGATTGTAGTGCATGTTGGATGCCGCCCGACAGAACTACGTAGCATCTATCACTGAATTCTACCACCAGCCTGGCGACAGCTTGCCGCAACAGCCGGCGAATTAATGAGGACTGTAGCCTCATAAGCAACCTAAACGGTGCAGTTGCAGCCAGTCATGCGGCACTTTAACCTGTTAAACGCACCCGTATCATTACTTGCAGAACCTTCCATCCCTGAAGACCCCTCAAACTCCGCACTGGCTCAGTCGCCACGTGAAGAGGCGTAGGACCAGCGCGGGCCACGCCGGCGCGGCGAGGCCTCGGTGAGAGAAACCAACCTGCTTTGGTACGCAATTTCTGGGCTGTCAATCAACTGGGCAAATAGCTGATGTTCTTGGCGTTCTGTTTTTGGATAAGCATGTTGTGATCTATCATTGCACAGTATGCCTCACTCTGCCAGTCCTCTTTGACTATGTGCTCCTGCAAACTCGTCCGCTCTGACGTGAGTTTGTCATACAAACGATTCAGAAGCCGGAATATTCTTGCTACTAGAACCTATAGCAATTTGAAGGAATACCTGAAGCATGCAAACAAAACAAGGTGTCAACCGCACAAAGACGTTGCAAAACAAAATCGAGCCCCTTGCCTACATACATGCGCATATACACTGGCGATTATCTAGTCTTGATCTCAGAAAGGGACATTGTTAGCTTGAGAAATTTCACTTCTTGGCGGTCCATGCCTGCAGAGTCACGACGCTTTAGAACGTCTTGGCGACCCATCATGCGCAGAACCTCCCATCAATTCCTGAACCCTGCATTTCATCCCCAAACCATCTAATCATTATGTAGATGAAGGCCGCGGCCGGTGCCGGTGCAGGCTCGGCACCGTGTTGCGCATTTAGGAGGTTTAGGATCAGGAGCTCCTGGTATAAAGTTGTTCTAGATTGGGCTTAGGACTCAAGGTTTTAGGTGTAGATTCAATTTTCGGTTGAGGGCTTGGGTCGTGGAGTTGAGGGTGTAGTGTTCAGGGCTTCAGGCCAGGGTTTACTGCAGGTGCTTTGGGGCTACCAGAGAGATGCTCATCATGCGGCTGCAACAACTCGTACAAGCCATTCTCTTGTGTAGTTGAGTTGCCATTGCTCTCATCGTTAATTGGATGGTGTTGAGTATACTCAAATTAACAGGTTGCCTCCTGAATGGCAGGCAGGCCTCTGCTCGTAGCGACCAAGGCTTCTTCCAGTTCGAATATGTTCCATTTGGTGGGTGTTACGCCCTTGCATCTGCAGACCTACCTAAAGAACCACATCTAAGGCTCGAGCCTCAGAGATTGCATTGATTTCTGCCTGGGTGTAACTGGACGCCAGGTGGATAAGCAAACATCCAGCCCAACAAAGTGGCGCAGCGCTTTCTACCACCCATCACCTTTTCCAGGAACCCCTAAATTCAGTCGATGTATCCCAGATAAAGCAAGAGCGTCCTGCTTCTCTTCGCGTGAGGGCGGAAAGTCCCAAGCTTTGCGCTCCCACTGCGCGAAAGTGGCAGGTGATCTTTGCATGGGGGTGGCTGCTATGGCATGGAAATAATCTTTCTCGCAATGATACGTAGAGCATTCAGAGCACATGCATGTGAAGAGTTCCTACGTCAGGGAATGAAGTCCTGGTCTCCATGCCGACGTTAGGAACGATACCCATGCGTTCATCATGGACACTGGCCAAAGGAATGTTCTTGAGCTTATGTGGAGAAGCTGTTGTAACCGATAGTACGTGCTGATGAGACCTGCTGCAGCCACGTGCGTTAGTATTGTTACTATTGCCTTACACGATAGGAATACTGCCACTGTTTGCGCAGCTTGCGTCCTGGCCTTGCCGAAGCGGAGTAAGGGAGCCCTCGCCAGGTGAGCAAGGTTTAAAGCAACTCGAGAGAGGAACGTAAGTAGCAACTCGCAGCCGGCCTTCCATCTAGCCAAGTGGAGAATGATGGCACTTCCTGTCAAGGTCTTTAGCCAAGTCGAGCAAATGCGCAAGGTCTGGCACGCATTACATTGACTTGGCTTATGCCCAGGGCATATGCACGAAATTTGACCTTGCTTGCTGTCCTGAGGGTCGTCATCTTCTTCCTCGCTCGCGCTCCAAGCTTCAGCCTCGGCCACGACGCAGCAGGAGCGGCAGCAGCAGCAGTAGTAGCAGCAGCAGCAGCAGTAGCAGCAACTGCAGCAGAAGCAGTAGTAACAGTCGTCGTCGTCGTCGTCGTCGTCGTCGTCGTCGCCGCCGCCGCCGCCGCCGTCGTCGTCGTCGTCGTCGTCGTCGTCGTGGTGATTGTTGCTGTTGACCTAGCTGTGACAGCTTGATTAGTTGGATGGCAGCTACCCACACAGTTGCTGTGCGGGCAGAAGCGGCGCAGAGACCGATGTGTTTCATCCGTAGGTGAAGCCAAGAGGCATCGAGCAAGGCTTCGAGCAAGACCTTCAGGGCAGGCTGGACTATGTCACACCCTGAGAGTTACTGTGCAGGATGGCTTTGGTTTGATTTGCCCTCAGCATCTCGCACAAATTCATGCAAACAAGTTGAAGAGGTCGACAATGGGAGCTGCCACTACCGCAAACAATGATTCTGCTTCCAAAGCAAGCGTAATATGAAAAGGCATGCGAGACAAACCCTTGACGCCACGGGCATTGGTGTTCATGAAGTACTGCTCATAGCAATTACCATCAGCCAAAGAAAAATGGCGCAAATGGAAATGGAACTTGGAACTGCCATCTGCACAAACCACCCGTATCTTGCACCGTTCAAGCTTGGTAGAGAACCTGAGGTGGTTCCAAAGATGTGAGAAGTATAGAACAAATATTCATGAGTCGCACAACTGAGGGACTGATGATCCAGGCTATGTCAAGCTATGACCCCAATCAAGGAGAATTACATGGCAAACGAAATCAAAAGTACCAGCCCCTGAAGTTTTGCTCTTACCTGTTTACCAGCCACCTCCAGGGGCTGCCCCCGTGCGGAAGCCAGCGCTGAGGAAAGGCAGTCCGCAAAGCCATCCTGCCAGGTGCACAGACCGGACCATAACGCTGATTAGTGGTCACTCAGAGGGAAAGAAAGACCATCATGGTCACCTTTTGTCACCCTTGTCATCACAAGGATAACTCTTGCTCTTTGTTCCAGAATTGCTGTTTCTGAGCACTATTAAGAATCTTGTTTGGTCCGCAGTGGTCCTGGTGCACTAGCAGGTCAAGAATTACTGGAGTCTAGGCTTGGAAACGTTGGTGCTGGCAAGGTTTGCGGCTTGCTGCGTCAAAACCTGGGGCCCTGACTGAGAGGACCTCTGTCCACGCATCAGACACAGCCACAGACTTTGACCCAGGCCTTGGTCGGTAGCCGCTTGAGTGCAAAGCTCTCCTGAAACCCGTCGCCCTCCACAAGACGTCTTGAAAGCTTGCCGTTACCATTTTCCCAACATTGAAAGGCCTTGACCTTTGAAAGTCAAAGCACAGATCTACGACATTTCGCTGACATGTAGCTTCTCCAGCGTCGAATAGCCCAGGAAAGTATTGACCACAAAAAGCATGGCCACCCCTGTATGACATTCTCCTGGCATCCTGTAATGCGCGTAGAGCTTCCCAGAAAAGCAGAATCCGCGTGACTTTCTGGAAGACCAGGTTCCAGGTTCAGGGTTCCAGGCGTAAGCTGCAGCTCCAAGTGGACCTCAAGTCCGCGCCTGAGTTGGATGCTGAAAGCTCAGTTTAAAGTTTCTCAAAGTTATGAAGCTGCGGAGGGGTTTAAAAATCCAAAATTGAGCGGAAAGAGTGGGCGTGAATCTCTTGTCGAATTCGTGCAAGAAGGATTGAGGAATCGCTTTGGGGCCCGAAAGCCAATTTGAGGTGATTCTGCAAGAAACCCCAGGTTTAGGCGAGATGCTCCTTTGAATGCTTCAGAAGGCCTGATCTGGACTCGCTTCATTCTGATCGCCGCCAGCCGTTAAGCAAGAACATGAACTTCTAGAGGGATGTACCTTCTGAACATGCTAATTACTGACTGCAAACTGCATCTGCGAAGCCTGAAGGCTGTGTAAGGGTACACCCTTAAAACCCAAATCCCAGACCTCGTGTTCGGAAAGGAACACAATCCACCTCCACAAACGAGCAGGCATCAGCAGACAGCAACCGCAAGCGCGACTTGGCAACTGGCCAAACCAGCGTCGTCTGGGCGCAAAGTGCCAAATGGTGTCTTGAAAGCTGAGGATTCATAGGGTTCCAACGTTTCATATCTTATGATGTCCATTATTCTGTGGAAACGGCTTTTCAAAAGCAACCGCAGCAGTTCTCACTGTGCATCGTTACCTACCCCAGGTCCGCCTGGAGCCGCGCTTTATCCATTTCCCCACGTTGCACCTGGGAAGTGGAGGCTTCAAGCATGCTTCACTGCTTCCCGGATTGATAATTCTGGGCTGGGATGTTACCCAACACAAGCTTCAAACTTGAGGCAGTCTGTCACTTTCCAAATTCAGCAGAAGCAATTTGGACATGCAGCCCGACGTTGCATATCAACTCGAATTCCTTGCACTTAATCCTCCAGACACCTTGAAACAAGCATTGGTTGTACATAGCTGCAAGACCTATAGACCCCACTGCTATACTCGATACAATAAGTAATCAGCATGCTCTTTAGTCGGATCCAATGCCATCAGCAAAGCTGAGCTTGCCAGCCAAGCTTGTGAGCCGGGGCGGGATGCGTCCATCTGGGCCAGGGCTGAAACTGGAACTGGGACCTTGTAAAGCATAACTTCTCCCTGCATACTCGCCTTGCTGCATATATATTTCAAGATGACGCATGGTTGATTTCTACATGTGCCTTAGATACTAGATACTGGAAGCGCTGTCTTTTGTCACTTTCGTCCACATGAGTATGGACATGTGACGCTCGCATGTTGGTGCAAAATGGATCAAAGCATAAATGCCATTCCACCACCTCAGCCTCTTAGCCTTAGAGGCAAGATCATGGCGAGCAATGCTCAAGATGCCTCCTTGTGCATCAGCCTGGCACAAGTGATCCCAGGACAGGAGCTGGGGTGCCAAGCCATATCGCTGTGAGAAGGCGATGAACCAGTTCGACAACTGATCCGATAGCTGCTTCTGCAGACCTGAGACGCAGGCAACATGAAATAGAGTTTGTCTTCCGCTTTAAGAGTAACACCGGCCAATAAACCACCCTCAGTCTGTCCCTGACACAGTCGCAATCCATTGTATGGGATGGGCCGGGCCTTGTGTCCAAGAAGTCGTTACGGCACTTCCATATCCCCAAAATTTGAACTCCTTACTATAGCATGGGAAGGGCATCGACCCCTCTTTTTGAAAGCCCTAGGCCCTAGACCCTCGCACATGCAGACATAACATCCCTACATCGTCCGTGAAGCCCCTGTAGTTGTAACCCATGTAATCCCGATGTGGCGACATCACGCTGAGGCCCAAGCTTTGGCAAAGCTGGTCAGCATGGGGCACCTTGGAATTTAGGCACAACGATGTCATTCAGGCTATTTTGCTTTGGGAGCTCTACATACAGTGTGCAGATGAGTTTACGTAACGGGGAAATATGGGAAGACTTCGGTATGTACACGGGTATACCAGGATCTTTGGGAGGATATGAAGACATGAGAGGATACTTGAGGATACGCAGTGGCATAATTAATTAAAGGGCGACATGGGGACACATAGAGGTCTAAGTGACACAACCTGGAAGCAGTTGACAGCTGAAGTCACAGACCATGGCAACGTTTGACTGCAGACATACCCCTTGACTTCACCCGGCAACTGCCTGCGCAGACTACGTTTATTACACACATCTGCTGAAACCCTCCACGAGTCCAGCGGGTGGCGAGATCTCCGGCCCAGCAGTGCGAACTGCCTCGACCTCGGCAGAGGAGACTGCAAGCAGCAACAGCTGCATGTGATGAGGTGGGAGGAGGGAGGACATGGACGAGGTGCTGGCAGCACAGGAATTCATGAACCATACTAACTATACTGATTGACTGTACTGAACATGACCTGCATCTCGTAATCAGGTAGCTGTTTCTCGCATTGCTGCCACATCTTGACGACTCCAATGGAATTCCAAGATCCCACATTGCCAGCAGCACCCCCGGACATTTACAACCGATGGTGTAGCCCCCTTGGGAATGTTGCAATCTTGTACAAATTGAATCCAGCCCCATGTCCAATGCACGAGCCCTCGACCATGCGAGAGAAATGCTCCACTGCTCCCTCAACCTGGCGAGGTGGTAGTGTTGGAATGCTGCACACGCACAGGCAAGACGTCCATCACGCTCCAACGACAGCACGGGAAACCCCCTGAGCCCTGCAAGTTGAGCCCATTTTTGACAGCAAAATCACATGATGAGACAATCATGCCCGCAGAACCATGGAGGTGGCGCTGGGTGCCCAGCTCGGCCTCCTGTGACTGTGTTCCAGGGAATGCGTCAGATCATCATGTCAGAATTGCAGCAGCCCGCTTCGGAGGTGCTGCAGTTGAAGGATTCTATGGTTGGAGATTCTGTTGGGAACCACCTGCTTGCAGGTCTCGACATTGAAGGTAACCTGGGACCGCCCTGCTTCACCAGATTTGAAGAGGCTCACCAGCTTGTAATTCTCATGCCGTTTCCGGCCCCCTCCAAGTTTCCATATCCGCTCACGATCCTGATCCCAAAAGCTTCTGCCAAGAATCAGCTACAGCGCTGGATACTGCTGCATTTCTTATATCTAGCTACAAAACCTGCTACTGTAGGTCTCTGTGTTGGCTTCGTCCCGCAAACTCGATCATCTGCGATGCTGCAGCCAAGAAGTGACACTAGCTGGTCGAGGACTGCAACTCAAAACCCCATGCCCTGAAATTACGACCTCGGCGTTAGTAGCATGACCAAAACTAATGTAGCACAGCAACAGCTAACGTCACACGTTTGGTTCTTCTTGGGTGCACGGCCTATCTCGAGAAGTCCCAATGCTGGATGTCCGACCCTGAGCCAGTGAGCGGTGAAGTTACTGAGAAGACCAAGAAAGTTGGCAGGAAGCTCTATCCAGGCAAGTGTCGGTACAAGCTAGTCAGGCCTAGTTGCGGCTTCAACATGCACAACCAGAAAGCATCAGAAAACATTGAGTATCGCGAGCCCATGGTGGCCCAAGCAGTGAACCCCTTTGAACTGCAGGCCTGGGATGCTGCTTCCTTCACATCCTTCCTGAGGCCTGCCAAGAGGCAATCCATAGAAAACTCAGAAGCTTCAGTACTGAAACGCATTATGTGCCTTGTGCCTTTTCAACTGCGCAGGCTGCCCAGAATGTGTGGCTCCTGACAGTCCCTTTTCCCTGAAAAGGCATGCCAGAGACACACCGGGCAGGACTCGCTGAAGGATTGGAGTTGGCCACCTGGCTTGTTGCGGGTTAGCTTCCCTGATCTACTACAAGTACAACCATGGAAGGTGAAACCGGACAACCTGCACAGACCTTTGCTTCTGGATTTAAGCTTCACTCATACAACTGCCTCGACCGTAGGCTCCTTCTCAAAACTAGAACCTTGTGAGCGCTGTCCCTTTCATGGGTCCCCCAAGCAACCTTCTAGTCCGGAATAAGGTAAGCTTCTAAGCTTTGCTCTCGGGCCTCGGCGGCACCACCTCGATTGCGTAGTGCCTGTCAAACCAGCTTGATTGGTCCGTCCAATCTCTCTGACTAGTTGCGGCACTGAGACGCTACGGACAAGTCCTGAGCAAGCCCCCTTCCGTCTATTAGGTCACCAGCGTAGCCTGACGGAGTTGACTCTTCTCCTGGAGAGTTGGCCAAGAGTGGACTTGCTTTTGACGTGATGTTGGCTTGCCATCAAGCACTGCCACCCGCACGTGCAGAAAAAGCTTTGTCTTGCAAAAATGCGATTTGCGATGTGCAGCTGTGCTCCGCTTGCACCACATCGAGACTGCGCTTGGTGCGCAAACACTGAACATCTTCCCAGTCCTTCTGTGAAGTTTGCCGACCTGTGCTCAGGGAGGCCGATTTGAAGTTGTGGTCTCCATGTATCCTTGACTCCGCCACAACTCCCGCAAGGCCTCAACATCTATCTGAATTAACGTAGAAACTGCAGGCCCGTTCGTTCTGGGTCAGATTCTGCGTCACTCGTGTTTTGTAGGTCAGCATGCCTCTATGGAAGCCTAAAGCTTCAGGAGTCGCTGATACGAAGCTCTGCGAGACGTTCACTGCTGCCCAAACAACATGAAGGACTCAAACGTAAAAGCTGGAGAGCAAAGGTAACTATTGCATAAGGAAGTTTGCTCGGGTAACTTCGAACAGTCACAAAGACGGAGCAGGAGGGCAAGGTGCCTGCAAAACGAATTGTGCAATAATTGTGGAGAAGGAAAAAGCGTTAAACACATTGCTGGCTCAGGATCCCATGATGCCAAGTTGAATAACCGCACAAGAACCGCACAAGGAAGCGGACTTGCTGACTTCCACTTGCTGCCTGAAGTAGCTCCATTGCGTAAAGCAGCAGAAGGTGCCTGGATGGTAGACGCGATGCGCCGTGAATATTTGAAGCAACCACAGTATGCTGCTGCAGCACCCTCTTGAAGTCCAGAACTGGTAGCTTAATAGCTGCTAAGCTTCCATAAACATGAGGTCTCCTACACTCCAAGCTCATCGCTTTACCTGAAATTAAGCTCGGGTCATTATGCCAGCACACTGGCAATGCTAGCATCCAGCTGTACCCTCTGGCTGCACTTCGTTGCCTGTCGTGGAGTCTGCAACCACGGGCCTGGTGTCAGACAGCATGAGCATCCATGGCAAAGCTTCCATTCTGGTTGTGGCGCTCAGTGTGAGGCTGCCTTCCGCCACTAACTTCTGGAAGTAGCTGTGCACCCAGGTGCGCTCCTAAGCATCTGCAGTGAAGAGCTCCCAAAGGGCAAGACATGGCAAGATATGGCAAAACCCTGGCCCTGCATCAGCCAGCTACACCACAGATTTCTGTGCAAACAATAGGACACGGTTTCTGGAAAGTTCTGAGCACGTGCGTGACTCTTGTGATGCGGCTCCTTCTCACTTCTCGCCACAGCCGGCATGGCTTCGCAAAGCAATGGCAGGCTCAGCGTGAAATTGCTGTGGCAGGCTCAGAGACTACAAGCTAAGCTGCACGGTGTCACGGCTTTTAGATGAGAAAACGAGTCTGCGTCATCGAAAGCATTCTGACGGAGATTCACAAGCGTTTCAGCTGCATCAAGGCTGACAGAACCTGCCAAAGGCTCGAGCCGCAGAGGCTGCAACGGTTGATGCTAGCGCGGCTGGGGTCAGCGCTAAGGCAACTGAGAAGATCAAGAAAGACATCTAGGATAACGGCTGTCGCTTGCTGCTCTGAACTGCGAGGCCTCGGCATCGTTGACGCACAGCGAGTACAGGTCCTGCGCACAAAAATAAAGAAGCGTGAACTTTACAGCATACTGCCAAGTAGCATCTTCTGCTCCACAGCTCTCACAGCCGGCAAGCAATCAGGATCAAAGTCTTTTTAAGTTGTGAAGATCACTGCCCAAAGGCTCGGACCTTATGAGAATTGTGGATTCATCCTGTGGAGCAACAACGCAACGCAACCAGCAACTTGTCTGCTGACGCACCC